TTTAAAAAATAAAAAACTATCCCTTTATCGTCACAATTTTTCACATTTTGTCACGAATGATAAAAAATACTTTCTATCGTTTATACGATAAATTTAAATAATTTTCCATAACAGAAACATGTAAACGTTTTCCAATTACAATCACAAATTTGGAGAAATTTATCGAAGCGAAAACGGAATATTTTATCTGAATTGTAGCACGACCCTTATAGATCTTCGCGATTAATCGATATCCTTCCTTTGTATACATAGTCACACCAATTCCGCCAAGATTTGGCGAAACGATCGCCCCAATTTAATATATTGTCGCGTGTTAAGGATAATTCGTTAATGTTACATAATGGCGGTAATAGTAACAATTACATCCTGCTAGTCGACCAGCAAAGTTTACACGCGACTGCATACCTCGTAATGGCGTACTCAAGATAATGATCGTCGGACAGAATTATCTTTTTGTTCCTCTTTTTTATTCGTAAATCTCTCTGTGGATTTAATAGCAATATTTTATAAAGATTTAATTGTTATATTTCAGAATTTATTTCGTTTGTGAATTTCTGATTTCTTTATAATTGTAAATTGAAATCATAGGTTTTCTTCATTAGTTATTCTTGAATAACATCGTGGACACTTCGATTTTTATCAAACATTTTATATTATATCGTATTGAATATTGAATATATTTCAATTTAAGTATATCAGGTCATTATAAATTATATATTGTACGATATATTCAATTCCTTAAATTTCATGTTATATAACATGTTATATAATATTTATTGATTTATTGTTGTAACCATAAATGTAATTGCAAAATTACTTCTTACTTATGTTGCTTCAAATATAAATAAAATATAAAATGCAAATCAATTACTTCATCTAATCATTAATTAATCAATATCCCAAGATTAAAAAAGAAAATGAAAAATTTTACAAAGATTTCAATTACAATGTATTCAATAAAATTATTTCATTATCAACGAATTGCGAATAACGGATTAAAATTAGATTTTAAAAAAAAAACCAATACGAATTCAATTCTCCTATTGAAAGATCATTTCCAATAAACGAATTTAAATATCCTGGAGAAGAAATAGGTGAAACCAATTTCTGATTCCCTTTTCATTTCTTCTTTTTTTTAACTCCTCATTTCGTCCATTGTCGAATTTCGATACTCAAAAGATATCGAGAATGAAGTCTTCTTAATGTTCGTTATCGCCTTTAGTCCCCTTCATCTTTACATTTTTGCATTTCCCCGGAATAATGACTTCCTAATAGCAGAAAAATAAATTGGCTGTCGGTCAAGCCTACGTTAGCAACGATCGATTAACTTTTGTTCCATTTTTTCGATGTTCTGACCCTTATCAGGATCAAAAGAATCCCTTCAAAAGAAATCAAATATCTATTTTTATTTTTGCTGATAAATTTCCATTTTATCGAAATAATTATATATGTATAATATGAAGTTCAATAAGAATTTTCATAGAATTCTTTGAGAACTTTAGTTGGATTTGAATATCTAAACATGCGAAAAATATATTTGACTATGGAAGATTAACTAGTCGATGACGAATTTTAAAAGAAAACGAATTTACAGTATCATTTTAAAATGTTTTTCACTTAATTTGTGTGAAATTTTTTGATAGCCATTCAGAGTCAGAATTGTGCAAAGGATTTATGAATAAAAATTCAATAAATAATAATTTATTCTCATCTTTGTGTACTCCAGCGGATTAACGAAGTTTTCGATATCCAAAATTCGAAGTGTTATCGTAATGAACAATTTGTCATGCTCCGTTTCAACTTGAAACTTGGCGAAGAAAAAGCGTCTCGCTTAACACCACTGTTTAAATTTCGACTTTGTGTCAACGATGATACGTGGGCGGTTTAAAACGAAAATCCGACCACGGCTGCGTAGCCATTTTCTGAACGCGTTCGCGCATTAATTCACACGCGTCCAATGGACGTGTGCGGAAATTTTTGTCTACGAAAGACGACTCATTTACATATTCGGAAAACGGGGCGTGGAGATGGTCGAGAATTCGTGAAAAAATTCGTGTCGCGGAAACAACCTTGATGAATACATAAGTTGGCCCGGATTAAAGAATTTTTAACGTTTCAAAGGAATATTTTTAACATTTAAAATATATTAGAAAATTTAAAAAAATTTAATAGAAAGAATTTTTCAAGTAAATTTCTAAATATTTAATATTTTTCATATTTTTCATGTTAAATCTTTGTACGAGAAAAGAAATATAATTTATATTGTTCAAATGGTACGTGTTAAGGCACTAATGATCTACAAGAACAGGAACGTGTTATGTTAACGTGTTAAAAATAATGCCTCGCATGAATAAATTTCATTTCGCGCGTCCAACTTATCTTTTGTTCTCAAAAAGAATTTTCTTTCCTGTTTACTAGTTAGACTTTAATTCTGTGTATATGTACGTGTATATTATTTTTCATTTTTAAAACATGTTAAGAGTGAAGTAGAAAATGTACAGAATATTGTACAGCATTAGATTTATAAATTTATGACTATTATCACGGTATATTCAAAATCATTAAAATCGGGCACGAGGAATTTGCAATTTGGAAAAATATATTTTTTAATACAATTCTGTCATAATTCTCTTTGACGATATCTTGGCACGATATTCATTATCTTGGCCGATATTTCGAACGTTTCTGTTCTTTTGTATTCTTTTTGGCTTTATTCATGATTCTATTCATTCGAAATAATTCAGGAAATCACTTTCCTTATTGCCAAGATAAAGATGAGAGAAAATGAAGGAATTATAAAGTCTAAAAATGGAATAAAAGGCGACACAAATGAGGAAAAAGAAGATAATAAAGGTACATGACTGATAATAAATTGAAAAATTTAAATTAGAGCTCTTTTTTTTTAATTTTCTATAAGTATTATTTTAATTTTTTTTAAATATTTTAAATTTAATTTCATCTTTATATTCAACTCTCACATGTGCACGTATCATTAATATATATTCATTCATAATCTCTTCGATTACTCGATTATGTTCATTAGAAATATCTTTTGAATTTCGAATTTCTGGATTCAAAGCAACAAATGAAATCCTTGTACAATATTACAAATCATAATATATTTGACGCATCAATGATGAAACGCTTTACTACTATTAAAATGCATTCGGATTCGTCTGTCCATCATCGATATTGCCAGTAACGAAACTACGATCTCTTTTTTTCTTTCTCTTTATCGAAAGTTACGGTATCGACAATTTCTACGGGAACCACAAACTTCCCCGATTTCTCTTGTTTCTGGCAGAAATCCACACGCAAATAGGTGAGATCCGCCTCGTAATATGCAAATGATCATAATCCTTAAAAGGTTAAGATGCATATTTCTTTTTTTCTTTTTTCTTTTCTTTTTTTTTTTTTGTCAACATTTTGTGCACACAGTGCACAATATATATAATACATGCATGATCGCATGAATTATAGTATATGGTAACAGGAAGTACTGATCAATATTTTTAAAAGAGAATTTTTATAATTTGAAAATTTGGTAAAATTTGATAAATGTATGAAATAATTTTTGTTTCTTTTCTAGATATAGAAACTTTGTAAAAGAATGAAAGAATTATTTTCTTTCTTCTCTTTTTTTATGATAACGTTAATAGATAATATATATTTTTTTTGCTTTCTCATATAAGATAAGACTCCTTGATACTTTTATCGATGTTTCCTCGAAAGTTTCAAGAAACTAGAAGTTATTAAATTACGGAAGTTACCTTGTAAGTTCGCAATTTCAAGGAATTTTTTTACAACAAGTAGTACTCTCTTTTTTCTAAACAAATTACAGATCTGCTACATAAATAGTGAATCTTTCAAATAATCATAAATTTCGTAAGTATATTTATAATTTGTTATATTTGTAATTTCTTATTTCAAATCATTTTTCTTATTTCTTATTGTTTCAATGAAACGCACTTTTAATTAAAATTATATTTTCCATGATTTATAAATAATAAATAAATTATCAGATTTTATAATATTTTACTATGATCTTTATAATATATAGCATAAATAATTTTGAAATTAAATTCTTATTAATTAATTCTCTTAAATTAATTCTTATGCAAATTTTTTACATAAAGCTTAGAAAAGCTTTTAGTAAAAATATAACATTTAAAAATCAGCAGATTAAATGATGAATCTAATTTTATAATTGCATAAAACTTTACTTATTATATTTTTAAATTTCAAATGCACAATTCTGACTCCTATTCTGGTGAAATTTCACACAATTCCAAAATTTCATATAAATTTAAAATAGACGTAGAAACAAAGTTTTGCGAAGGATAAAAGTTTCTTAGCTTTCTTAAAAATGGTTCTTTAAGTTACATCGACCGTAGCCCGGTAACAGCCTCTCCCGATCTAATAAAAAATAAATCTTATGATAATTTTCAATCAACTTTTTGATCGTTATTCTTTCGTCCGACTATCCGGGCAGTTATGCATTTTAACTATCGCCATTTTACATTATCTCATCTAACTCCTAACTTAATAGTTTCAGGATAATTTATCTTTGTCGATTTTATTCTCTTTTTTTCTTTACGAGGAAACGATCCATCGATGTTTTCAATATTTTTCCTTTATCGATAAAATGTTATCTACATTATTTATTATTTTCTTTTTTTTATTGAAACACGTATCTCTGTCTTAATTACAGAAAGATGTAAATTTTAACTGGAAAAATCCAAAATCGATAATAGAAATTAATGTCATTGTTATTGCACTCATTCGATAAATACATCCATTGTTATGCATCACGTGTGCTGTCGAATTTCATTTGGTACGATTAAACGTGCGAAGTAATTGCATGATCGTTTAATGAACGTTAAATTAATATCTGTTACAAATCGACTGTTTTACTTTATATTGAAATTCAAATAAGAATGAAATAATAAATATTAATTAAATAATAAAAAAATAATAAAATATTAAAATAGAAATTAATAACAGAAAACTATATTCTTTTTTGCAGCACAATTTTATACAAAAGATACGAAAAATGGGACACTTGTAAAATGGCACTCGAAATAAGTATTTTTTTAATGAAAACTATCTAAAATGGAAATTTATTTTTTATCCTAGACTATTCAATATCCTCGAGCTTTGATTTAATAGTTATTGAGGTGATGTAATAATATGCAGAAGTTTCTGTACGTTTTCTTTATTGTCTTTTTTAGCTCTGCATTAGAGGGAGAAATTGAAGGAAGATTGGACATAGATATATATATTCTAATATATCATATCTAAAAATAGAGATAAAATAATAACAGGAAATCTGTATAAGGCATTCTATATAGCGGATAAATTTTCTATTATATTATTTTTTCTTTTCAATTGTGAATTGTTGTAAATTATTGAAAAATTACAAACAAGAATTCAATAATTTATTTATATTATAAATCTATTTGAACTTTGTTTAATTACTAATATATCTAAAAACCATTCCACAATTCTCTTTCATTCCATTTAATAGTGTACAATCCTTCTTTTGAGTTCAAATCCGAAGTGAAGGAGGAACATTTCTCCTTTAGTAAAAATTAAGTAAGACACTTTAGGACTCCTTCAAGCTATTTTATATTGTTCCTGAGATAAGACTAACGAACTCTGTTCTATCTTTAATCATTATCATTCTCGCAAAATCAAATTTCCTCTTTTATTTACAAATACTCCTATCATCATTAACGACGTACTTCCTAAAACTACTTCTAAAATTAAAATGAAAACTGAAGTCTAATAATTCTCAAAATAATAAATAGTAAATTAAATAGATATATAAAGACTACTGCAGAAAACAAAGAAAACCAATAAAAATAAAAAATTAAAAATTAATCTTCATCGAGTGCACATTTTACAAAACTCCTCTTCCTCCAGTTCAATTTATATCTAATTATCATCACCTCGAATTACTATCTCAGAATAATTGTGCTCTAGCACAAATTAACCTTCTAATATTAAAAATAAAAATTCCTCGTCCACTTTCGAGAGATCGTTTCCTTTTTCTCTCTCTATACCTGTTGGCTCGCTCCGCTTCTTGCACGGTGCTTGTACACTGTCGTTTTGTACATATATACGTGTATATATAGGTCGTGTGGAATGCTAGTGGAAGGATAGGATCAGGTGTGTTACGTACAAGGTGCGATGAGTTGGATAGATGGAAAGGGAGGATTTTCGAGAGGGTTGAAACGGCCGAGAGCGGGACGTGTGGAAGTGAGTGGGACAAGGCCTAAAAGTCAGATTGCGACGTGGCCAGGGCACTCTCGGCCGTTTCCTCACGTCGTCATAAAGGCCTGGTCACTTCGCCGCACTCGCAGTGCGTTGGGTGACCCCGTCGATCCACGCGATTGCTTATCGAGTGATCGCTGAAACAGAGAAAATGAATTAATTAATTTAAGAAAATTAAGAATGATGGACAGTATAGGTGTAGGATTGCTAAAAATTCTTGAAGATTTTGCATTGAAAGTCATCGTTATCTTAAAAACTTCTTGAAAATGCCTTAATAATGCCTTGATAAATAATTGAAATAATTATTATAATGTTTCAAAGTAAGGGCCTATATTTGTCATGTATCCTTGATGAAGAAATTTTTATTTATTTCAAAAAATAAATGAAATTTATTAAAGATATACGAATGAGATACATGATTTACACATTTCTTTATATTATAATTAATTAATAATTAATAATTAATATTTTTTATTTCGTAATATATCCAAACTTTATCAAGTATACGATGACTTATAAACGAGGGTACTTTAATTTACAGCTATATTTTCTAAATAAATACCTAGCTTTTAAACTCCTCTGGTACATCCACGAAACTTCGGAAATTCCATCACAGGGAAATTTTACAAGTTCGTGACACAATACAACGTGCTCGAAACTCGTAACTTTATTAATTTATGAAGTTGCTTTCGTGTAACAAATAGATATTTTCTATGAAAGGAAAATCATTTTGGAACAATATTAACTAAATGAAAATTTTTTAATGAGATTAAAATTGGTATTTTTTACATTCAGAAATATCTAATAAAATATCGATTTTTAAATTCTATTTGAAACATTTGCGAATTCTGTTAAATGTACAAAATACACAAAGTACAAATAATTTCAACATCGTGGACAGATATGTTTAATAAAAGAACTACGAACCACGAATAATATTTTAGCCACTAGACTCATTTTAAAAAAAAATCAATCTTTACGAACAATGGAGCTACGAGCCGTGAATAATTTTCTTTAGCTACGATCCGACTGATGATTCAACCGACTTACAATGGGTTTCCAAGACAAGCATCGTGTCTGAAATTAAGTCTCCATCCTTTCCTCGAGTCTGTCACGTCTTTGAGGACGTTGTCGATCTTTGGTTCGCGAATTCAAAAAAGACTTTAACCTAAATTTCGTAGATTGGTTTCCCAGATTGCATCCCAACGAAGAATAGGACTTGGCTGCCATTATAACAAAGAAGACACTTTAGTGTTTTTGGATATTAGATATTAATATCCTATGAAATAATAAATGTTGAATCAAGGAATCCGAATATTATTGCAAAATTATTTTATAATGGAAAAGGAAATTAGAACATTTCTAGAAAGAAAATCAACGTTGTGTTAAAATAAAATTTCATTATAATCTTTTTTCTTTTAAATTGTGATTTGTGTTACTATCTTTCTCTTTCACCTAAGATTGGATTCTTATGCATTTTTAAGTAATTAAGTTCGCGACATAATGAAAAACTCTTTTTCATCAACTAAATTAGACAGAAAAAATAAAATACTCTAAAAAAATATAAAAGAAAGTAAGAAGAATATAAAAAAAATACCATTCGAAAGCGAAAAACAGTAGAGAAACGAGAAATGTGAAGTAAATGACAAAGAAAATGGAATGCAGACTAGAAAAAAGAGATAGCAAAGGGAAAGGTATGAAAAGAACACACAAAGGATGAGCACAAGAAGGAAAGATTAAAGTTAAATCTAAAAAAGAACATGGCGGTGAGAGAAGAAAATAAATAGGAGATAGAGAGTGAGAAAGAAAGATAGAATTTTAGGAAAAGAAAATGGGAATAGGACTGAAGAACTGGTAACAATTCACTGCAAGGGAAAAAAATCATGAATATGATGTTACCATGACCTACATCGATGTGGCTGTGAAAAGAACAGGGAATAGAGGCCGGGCCATTGTCAGTGGCTGCGGACCGATCATATCAGACGAAGCGACGAAGCTCGTAGTAGTTACGACCTGATAATGGTCAGACAATTGCAAATTGCGTGTTGGATCTCATTAAGTGCCTATAAGAATTTTTATTTATTCGTTGCTATTTATTGATTGGAAATGAATTCTGGAATAAATCCGTAAATGCAACTAATGGTTATTATTTTAATAACGTATTATATTTAGTTTATATTCTACATATAAAATAGAATGAATACTGTCTTAATGAGAGATATAAAGTAGATTCTATATATTGGAAAACTTCGAAGAAAATGAGAATACTTGAATCATTATATTCATCTCTTGTTTGCATTAATATATCAGATAATTAAAAAAATATTTATTAAAAAATAAGATTGATATCGAAAATTAACACTGATAAAAATGATTGTAAAAAAGATTTATATAAAATGACTTACTATTACTTACTTATTATTACTTTACGTTTATTTGTACTTCGTATCTATTGATTTTTTGTTATCATATATATTATTATATCAGAGAACGAGAGATATTAATATGATAATGAATCATCCTGTATAGTATTAGTCACTTAACAACTATTTGATGAATGTAGAACAAGAATTTTTAATTTCAATCATCGTTAGTACCCTGAATGAATATTAATTATTATCTTCTGAGAATATTAAATATTTCTAACTTATAAATTGAAATTTTATTACATTTCATCAAAAAAAAGAAGAAAAATAGAAATTATGTTTTATTGTATGTATACTATATATATATAGTAATTTATCAATTCCTCCTCACACTGTCATTTATCAATTCCTCCTCACACTGTCATTTATCAATTCCTCCTCACACGATTTACCAATTTACCAATTCCTCCTCATACAGTCATTTATCAATTCCTCTTCACACGATCATTTGATAAATACATGGCATTAATTTTCGCCAAGAAATTATTCAGATTGATTAATCTTTTATGTAGGGCAACAATTGCGATTGCTTGAAGTATTTTCTACATATCAAGTTATTGGTTTTTATAGAAAAGAAAGTAAATAGATGAAAAAAATTTTATTTTTTAAGAGAAATATTCTTAACAATATTTGTTGATCAATTAAATTATTCAAAATTATCACGATTTATATATATATTATTTATGATTTTTCACGATGAAAATACTTTTGTAAGAATGTGAAAAATCCAGAGGAAAAATTTAATATTTTAAGATATCTTTGAATTTAAAATTCTTGTTCTTGCTGTACTTATATAATTGAATTTGATACAAATTGAATTTTTTTAAGTGTGAGGAAGATCTTTGTGGATTAAATATTTAATAATTATAAAAATCTGATAAAATGTAGATATTGTTTCATTTGTATACATAAATGAATTATAAGGATAAAGGAAAATTATAGCTGAGATAATCATTGATGTTAACAATGAAGATAAATATTTATTATAATATAGATTTAATTAAAAATCTATTAAAATCAACTGAATTAATTTTTTTCTTTTTACTTTGATTTTCCTCGTACGAATATCGAATGTAGTATTAAATTAAGTGACCATAGTTCTTGTTGAAAATCCGATAGATTAAGATAAGCTGAATAGATGGAAGACAAGGGCTTGAGCCGATGTGCATGGCCGATGGCTTGTATCGTGGTTTTCGTGTGATACTGAACACGGAATTTATAGTTCTATCTTCATACATATTTGCTATTCGTTATTTCAGAATACATAGATTTCTAGTAACGAAACATTATTATTCAATGATAAATAATCTTCATTCACATTATACAAAATTATTAAAAATTAATAAGATTAATTTTTAGCATTCCACATGCTTTTTTCATATTAATTTATTTCTATATGTATCAACTTCAAACTCGTTACATTAACGTGATTATAAAAGATTCCTCTTGTAATCTGATTAGCAGATTAAAAGAAAATCCATTTATTTATTTATCGATCAAGTACTTACAAAAGTTCTCTCATTTCTGCCTTTCAATCCTATAATACCACTTTTCCTTCAAAAATCCCTATAAACACTATGCTTAAGATACTCGATATCGAGACCAGGTATCTCAATTTCCAATTATCCGACTACGGTTTTATTTGTTATAGCAAAAGCATTCGATCCTTGGAGAGTGGTAGTCTCGCCGTTTCGACGAGCTTTAATCCTCTAGATGGATCCTCGTATACAAGCGTTGTTGTTAAACGAGGCTCCAACCTTTTCAGAATGTCAGCGAACGTTATATAGACGATTAATAGGATGAAGGGAAGAGAGAAGAAGGGGAGAGAAAGGACAAATACATCGACTCCCTTCTTTTCGTTTGTATCCTCCGTAGAATTGAAGTTATGATTGCGAGCGTGGCAAAAGATATAAATTTTAAAGCCGCGTTTCGCAGAATATTGAATCCGTGAGAGAACATTAATTTGAGAAATTTTTCTGTAAGATTTATCAAGATTTGAATTTTTCTAAGTTCGTTTGATTTTTTGCTCTTGTTATTATTTTAATATTGTGTTTCGTGGAAGCTATTTTGTAATTTTATTCTCTGGAGAGTTGTTTAATGTTAATCTATTTAATACTTTAATTATTTGACTTAATTGTTTCGCTTTTTTCATAAGCGATATTTGAATTATTAATAAGATTACTTAAAATAGAAATTCAAGCTTATATTTTCCTCTTCAAACAATAATTAATCAAACGTATATTTAGTAATGAAAAGTTAGAATTTAATAATTATTTAATACTACTTCTTTTATTACTCACTGTAATGCATTTAACGCACGTGATATTAATAACTGTTATTTTATGTAATTTTAATCTATTAGATATAGTCGAACACATTTATTATCCACAATATATTTTCAGCAGTCTTTACACACGTATTTTCTACTATATCCTTACCAACAATATCTCTAATCATCAACTCTAGTATCGCATAAAATTTCCAGTAAACTATCCCAAATAACAATTTCCAATACAACGTCACCGAAAATTGTAACAATCTTATCGAATCAATCTTAAAGTTCACTTATACCGTATCAGAAAATCAGAAACACCCTTATTAACCATTTCATACGTACATGGAGTTCCTAGAATCGAGTTTCTTTCGAGAACTACCGTAAACAGTCCTCAGCGTGCATTACTTGGAATCAATAACAGCTAACACGACAGTCA